TCTCTCTCTCTCTCTCTCTCTCTCTCTCTCTCTCTCTCTCCAGTCGAGCCCCTGAACCAGAGTGAGACGCTGTTATTGGAGCAGGAAGCACACGGATCACAGACGCTCCCCTTCTCTCCTCCTCTGACGGACGGAACACATGCTCTCTCGCTCACACGGATACAGGACCATCACCTGTCTTCTCCTCACTGCTCAGCATCTGTGCTGGATTATCATCACCATCACCATCACACTCATCCATCAGGGACTCATCTAGCGCTCCGCTCCGGACTCCAGACTGCAGCTTCATGGGAAAAATGCTGGAGCAGCACCAGATGTTCCCGCACTACACCTGCTACTATCCGCCCTACGCTCACAGCAAGGTACTCTCTTCAGCTCAGTCTCTCTCTGATAGTGATGGATTGATTGACTTGATACTATTAGGACGAGTTGACAGTTGTCAAGTCACATTTATAGTATTTCTATAGCACTTTCATACAATACATATACAAAACAACAGTGTCATCAATTATGAAATAAATTCAATTTCAGATGTAAAGCAGCTCTACAGAAGACAATAGAGTTATTATTCAGCCCAGTTCAGTTCAACATTGATTCAGTGCAGTGCCAATGTTGCTAAATTAATCAATTATAAAACAAGGTGAGTTTTAAAGTTGCTCAACAGAAGAGAATAGTCTCATTCAGTTCAATTTAGTTCAACATTAACTCCAACTGTCAATGTTGCAAAATTCAGTAAAGCAATTCAGTTCCATGCTGATTCAGTTCAGTTCAAGAACTGTCACTGGTGCAAAGTTCAATTATGAAACAAATGTAGTCCCTAAAGCAGCTCTACAAAACACAATGGTGTTGTAATTCAGCTCAATTTGATGTTGATTTAATTCAGTTCAGTGACGGTGTCAATGTTGGAAAATTCATCCATTATGAAACAAATTCAAAATCAACTATAAAGCAGCTTTAAATAAAAAGGCAAGCGTCATTTAGTTGAAATACCTATGTTTATTCAATTTAGTTCAATAAGTGTCAATGTTGCAATGTTAATCAATTATGAAACTAATTACATTTGCAATAAAGCACCACTATAGAAGACAGTAGTGTCATTATGCAACTCAATTTAGTTATGTTGATTCACTTTACTTCAATAACAGTGTCAGTGTTTCAAAATTCAATTCTGAAACGATTTCAGTTTCAGCTGTAAAGCGGCTCTACAGAAGACAACAGTGTCATAATTCAACTCAGTGTAGTTTATTTTGTTGATTCAGTTCAATGGCAGTGTCAATTCAACTATAAACAATAGTTTATTTATTCAAATAAATGCAAATAAACATACATTGACTTCAGTGTTTGAGGCATTTCAGTTTATTTTTCTATTTTATAGTTTTAGTGTGCATGTGTGTGCGTGTGTGTGTGTGTGTGTGTGTGTGTGTGTGTGTGTGTGTGAGAGAGAGAGAGAGAGGGAGAGGTCATCAGTGTGATTTACTGTGTTATACATCTGTGCTGCTGGCATATGGTCTCTCTCTCTCTCTCTCTCTCTCTCTCACACACACACACACACACACACAAACACACACCTCATAACTCTTGCTCAGTGAGACACAGTGTCAGGATAAGTAGAGCATCACATACATGTATACTTAGCGCTCTAAATGTGGACATTGCAGAGACTTCTATTGTTTTTATTCACAGCTAGTTACAAACACTATAACCAAACCCTAACAGAAAACGTTTAGCGATTGTTGTTTTTTTACAAATGAGGACATCCCTAAGTGGAAGTTTTGTCAGGTTTACCCTCATTTTCTCATTTTAGGGATTAAATATGTCCCCAAAATATGGTTCAGTAGACACACACACACACACACACACACACTCTCTCTCTCTCTCTCTCTGTCTCTCTCTGCATGCATTTTCATGCTCTGAATATCGCTGTGTGTTTGGTGTTTGTGTGTGTGTGTGAGCGTATTTTTGCTCATGTTCCTGAAGAGGTTTTAATGACGCACATATGAAATACTGCACATCGGTGTGCTGTTAAACACGGCCTATAAACACACAGCAGATGTTACGAGATGACGTTTGTCAGCTGAACAAGGGAAAGTCACATGATCTTTTCACAAAAGTACCATGGTCATACTATAGTACTTGGATATATATATATATCATAGTATTACATGACTGGCATATTCATCAGTAAGGTAATACCCTGGTATCATGTGCCGATTCTTCTTCTTCATTCTGTTTGTGTGTTTAAGATTGTTATAAATTCGTCCAGCATCTCTGAACATTCAGTCAAACGTAGAAACACTGAACACTGACCTTTAATATCTGATCAATAGAGGGCGGCAGCACTGCGAACGTTAGCTGTGATTTCCCATGATTCTCCTCTGAGACCAAACTCAAGCTTAAACTTAAACATTAACACATCTGTGACATCTAACTTTGATATCAGAGTTTGGTCAGTGATTTCTGACAACCTGACTCACACACACACTCACACTCTCTCTCTCTCTCTCACACACACACACACACACACACACTCACACTCTCTCTCTTACACACACACACACACACACACACACACACACACACACACACTCTCTCTCTCTCTCTCTCACACACACAAACACACCCACACACACACAGCCTCATTTATAACTCTCTAAAAAGGTAGCTGCTGGAATAATTTCCCTTCAAGCAAGTTGAAGTTAAGTGTCTTGCTCATGGGTAAAATGGTGAAAGCTTATGGCTTACTTGTGGGAATCAAACCAACCACCGTTTGATTACACGTTCTAAGCTTTATCCACTCAGTCACAGCACTCTTGGGAAAAATTAGTGTCATATGATAACACACACACACACACACACACACACACACACACTCACACTCTCTCTCTCGCACACACACATACACACACACACACACACACTCACACACACACACACACACACAAACACACACACACACAAACACACACACACACACACTTACTCACTCACTCACTCTCTCACACACACAAACACACACACACACACACAGATTAATTTGTCTGCTATGGTGCTTTACTGTGACTTATTTTAATATAAACCTTTTTATAAACTGCTTTTCAGAAGTTTGGGGTTGGTGATATTTTTATATCTTTACTGTCACTTTTGATCAATTTAATGCATCCTTGTTGAATAAAAACAACAAAAAAGTCTTACTAACCCCAAACTTTTACAACATTAAATCACAGGAATGAGATTAAAAAGTGCTATAAAATAAGGAGTCGTTTACTGTCCTTCAGACGTCATGTATTAATGTCCTAATAGAGCGAGGAGACGTCGGTCATTGGTCTGGGATCAGGCTAAAAATATTCCTGTAATAAAACAGCCTAGTAAAAGATGGCATCAGTTATTAAGTCATTATATATGCATGTGCTAATGAGGGACACAAAGGACGTGTGTTTAGCAGAGCGACCTTCATCCTCAGCCAATCAGATTGAGTCTCATTCTTCAGGAAGTTACAGTCACCATCCAGACAAACCGGATAAAAACAAGCCCCTAAAAATAGTTTCACACCCCTTATTGAGAGAGAACGGATGAGATCCAGTGTTATTTTAGTATTGTTTACATATTATTATAGTATATATTTTATGTATTTAGAAATTCATATTTTGAATTGGCTTTTATTTTTATATTTGCACTTCTCATTTTTAGTTTAATTACTAATTTTATGTGCTTTTGCCATTTTTATTAGTTATTTTTAAAAATATTTATCATTTTTATTTTTCAGTTTGTTTTCAGTTATTTTAGTAACTAGTAATTTTAGTATTTCAACTTCAACTTATTTCAGTTAGTTGCCAGAAATATTATTGTTAATTTATATTATATTATTATTTATATAAAATTTCAATATTAGGTAGAAACTTTAACTAAATGCATATTGGAAATGTTACCACATTTCTAATTTTCATTTGGATTCAGTTTTTCATCCGATATTTATATATTTATTTTAGCTTTATTTAAATTAACAAAAACATTTTTGTAAAAATAGTTTGTTTTATTTTGATATAAACTTTTCAGCAATTTTAGTACTTCAACTCAAACTTGTTTCAATTAATTGCAATTTTTAAAAAAATAATATTTATATCATACTATTATTTAAATAAAATGTAAATATTAAATTAAAAACTTTAAGTAAATGGATATTAGAAATGTTGCCGTTTGGGTTAAATATGTTTTTGTTTGTTTTTTAGCTTAATTTCTATTTTATTTAACAACACTGATGAGATCCATCGAGAAGAGGAGGAAACTCAAGAGAAACTCCAGAATCATTCACGGAAACACACATATTACTGTGTGTGTGTGTGTGTGTGTGTGTGCGTGTGTGTGCGTGTGTGTGAGAGAGAGAGAGAGTGTGTGTGTGTGTGTGTGTGTGTGTGTGTTCAGGTTGGCTGGTGGGTCGCTGAGTTCATGTTTGGCTGTGTTTAATGATCTCAGGTTACTCTCGTGTATCTTGGATGTATATTTGAAGAGTTCCAGTAAGAGCTTGTCTAGTTTGTGTGGTTTTAAATGAGAATAGGTTCATCTGTGAGCTGTGGATGAAACACATAAAACACACACAGCTGTGGCTCTGATTACCATGATAACAGCAGGAGCGCTAGCAGATGTGCACATTCACCATTCATGAGAGAGAGAGTGACGTCACATCTGTGCAGATTTAATGAAGGACTTGTCATCATAAAAAAGTGTCTTGGGCCCTTTCCACATTTCCAGGGTTCTCAGCTATGATTTTGTCATTTAATTTTCTACAGTACTGAAAGAAACAAATCCACAATAACATTTCAATGAATTTCCAAAAGAGGAAATAAAAAACGTATAGAGATTGATTACAGTCATCAGATGAGAGAAAAACATCAAATTTACAGTCATTCCCTCAACGGTTGCATTAGAAAACCCCTCACAGCAGCGTTTGTTTGTAATTGTGGAAACGTCATCAGTCTGTGAAAAACAGGTTTGATGTGAAAACAGCAGAGAATGTGAGAAACAAAATGTCTTTATGGATATTTAAAATATAAGATGTTTCTATGAGGCTTTAGGGGATTTCAAATATACATACAATCAAACATTTGGGGTCAGTACATTTTTTTAAAGAAATTAATATTTTTATTCATCAGGGATGCATTAAAGTGATCAAAAGTGACAGTAAAGACATTTATAATGTTACAAAAATGTATATTTAAAATAATTGGTTCATTTCAACTTTCTATTCAACTGTGAATCCTGAAAAATAAAAAAAGAATCACAGTTTCCACAAAAATATGAAGCAGCACAACTGTTTTCAACATTGCTAATAATCAGAAATGTTTCTTGAGCAAAATATCAGCATATT